AGTTTTTTTTTTCTATAAATATCAATAAAGTTTTATCTGTTGTGCCAAAAAGTGTAAAAATTTAATACAAGGTTCCTGATATACTATTACAGTAGCAATTGAAAAATATTAAAAATACATAGGCAATATTTTTTTTTATAAGCATTTAAACATCGAATTTTGACAAAATTTATCAAAATTTCGAAAATTATCAATCATTGTAATTAATAAATTATAAAATGTTCAGTTTTTATAGCTGACGATTGAAAATTTAAAACAAAGGTTCTCATAAATAGTTCATACTGTCACCAAAACATCTAAAAAATATATGAACACAGTTATTTTTTACAGACATTTTAAATTCAAATTTGGACGAAATTACAAATTAAAATCAATATTAACGATCTTTGTTTTTGTTGTAATTTAAAAATATTATTCGGGGATATATGAAACTGAAAAATCAAAATATTATGGCCTATCCATACAATCTACCATAGTATAAGGAATAAGAATTATGCTCATGATAAGACTGTGCATATTTTAAGCAATTTATCCATAAATTCCATATAATTTAATACCATAGAAAAGTATATAATATGTCTTATACCTAGACTGACATACCGTCTCCGCTCAGAATCGTTTTTCTTATACAATGATATTATATCATTGAAATTCAAATTTAATACCATCCATTATACATTGACCCACTTGTAACCTACAGTACAGCAGAGCGACATCCACTTACCCACCTTTTTAACCTTGTCACTTACTTTCTACGGTAGAAATGATATTCTATGGTAGAAATTCTACCACCAATTTTAGTTAGTACGTCGAGAGTACGATTGTTCTAGTCGTGATCGAGAAAGAAGTGAAATACTTAATAATATATATTATATAATAATAATAAATTAAATTAAAATTTAGTTAAATTTATTAATTTAAAGTTAAATTAAAATTGATGTGGAAAAATTTAGAAATATGAATTAAGTATATTGTGCCATTTTGAACAAGGTAACCCATAATACAAATTTCAGGTTTAGTCGTTTAGCTATATTATTTATTTTGAGTGTGCAGGGAGAAAAAATATATAGGTTAGGTTCGATTAAGTACTATTAAGGTGCTTTATATCCATAAATTTGCTTACCAAATACAACTGGCATCCACAATATAATATAAACTTATTAAAAGTACCTACACATAGTTCTTCAAAAATAGTAATAATATTGTGAAGTTTTCATAGGTACTAATATAAGTGACGTATTAAATACATTTTACAAATATTCTAGTTTTTGTCCCCACTAGACCCCCCCCCCACTAAAGAAAAAAAAGTTTTCTATGTGGCCTGGTAACATTTTCGCACCAACAAAAAAAAAGTTGAAATGACGCCCCTGTACCAGAGGCGTGTTGAACTCCTTTTTGGTGAGGAGCAAACATGTATACAAGGTAAACCCTCGATGTTTGTAACGGCATTTCCAACATAGCGAAAAAGTTTAAATTAAAAATTTTACAAAATTTGCCTACATTTGTAACGATTTGTATAGTCGGATATGATATTTCTAGTTTCTACTATATACCTAGTCACCTAGGCGGCTAGGTATTTTGTGGCAGGAAGCACACTCACCAACCAACAATTTTGAAGGAGCAATTGCTCCAAAATAATACCTTCGACACGTCACTGCTATATACTCGAATAATCGGTTTGAAAAGTTATTTTTTAATTTACACATTTGACGTTTATTTTTATATTACAGCAAGTAATAGTTAATTTTACGTAACAAGTCGCCGGTCGGTAATGTTAGTGGTAATGTTTGTTACGTGGTGATATACCAGTAGAAATTTATTGTCGATTATATGTACTTTAATATTTTCATATTATTTCTTTTATTTTTATCATTCACCGGCATCGCTGTCTAAAAGACAGGGCATTTATATTTTTTCAAATTACTCATTATAAGTAAATTACATTATCTCGTTTACTAGACACTAGTTACTACCTATACCAATATACCATCAATGTCCATTGTCCAAGTCAAGCTACATTAAATGCTATTTAAAACAACTACCTACAGTTTGTCGAATTTATAGGTACCTATTTTTAACCTGTCAAAAAGACCGTGTGTGACCAATTGAATTTTGTTCAATATTATTTTCGTCAGTGATTATTTTTTTTCAAATACGCCTCTATATTAACCTTAAAATGAACTTAATATTTTACCTCCAAATTGTATTTAAGTGAAAATACGTATCGTAAATTATAATCACAACAATATTACGTATCAACGTATTTTACCATATTCTGATTATTTACTATTGTCTATTCCAATACAATTTGAATGAAGGTTTCATCAGTTATCTTATTATATTTTTTATAAATTGATAATAAAAACAAAACAAACATAACACATACAATATGATAGCAGAATAAAAAATAAATACACAAGTAAAAATATAATTATAATATGACGTTATTGCGAATTTCCTTCATCGTCACTGGACTCCCCCCAATCGCTGTCATCAGGTAACAAAGTCAATATGATTGGCTCCAACATACTGTCTCTCATAATTTCTTTTTCGTTGTCTTGATCTTGCAATGCTTCTGCATGTCTCACGCACTTCTCCCAATCACGTTGAGTTACCGAATCCAATGCTTCGTGAGTCAACTTTTCTATATCGACCATTTTGAATGTTTTATTTTTTGTCGCCACTTGATTTTTTACCTGGGCCCATATCAGCTCAATTGGATTGTATTGGCAATGGTACGGTGGAAGTCGAATAACTTCGTGGCCCATTTCCAATGCCAATACATCCAATTTATATTTTTTTTCAAATGGTATTAACGCTTTAACTTTCTGTCTAAGTTCAGCTAAATTTTCTAATGGTGAAAAATCGACATTTTTTTTGGTCAACCAAGCCTGCACATCTGCTTTTCGCGTATTACTTTTGGGAAAGTGATCGATGAGGGTTGAACGATAAGATGCATTATCCATAACTATCACGGACGGTTCTTGAAGGCTGTTCAGCATTTTGGTGAACCAAGATTTGAATACTTCAGAATTCATTTGGCTGTGGTAATCCGTAGAATTGCCAGTATTACTGCGGAAAACCAATTTTGAATTCTGAATGAACCCATATTTGGCACATCCTGCATGAACAACAATAAGGCCACCTTTTCCAGTAGGGATTTTCGGACCCACCATACTATCAATGCTCCGCGAATGATTTTGATTTATCCAGGTTTCATCAAGATATACAATTGGTCGAGTATCTTTATTTTGGCGCATTGTACAAATTTGTCTCAAAAATTTACATCGAAGCGCAACAATATCGTTACGCTCCATCAAAAATTTACGACCGTCTCTACATTTTTTATAAGAAAATTTCAAATTCCTAAGGAGTCTTTTAATTGAACTTAAACTTCCCGAGTAATTAATTTTGCTCTTGACGGCATTGAGTATTAATTCTGATGTAGGATACTCACTCCTGTCGTAAAATTCATGAACTGTCCTCCTAACAACATCACTGTCGAAATCATCCAACTCTGAGGCATATTTTGCCCGCTTGTATGATTTACGTGGAGATGAAAAAGAAGGGCCCGTCTCAGGTAATTGATCATTTTTCTTCACTTCGGAGCAAATACGTTGAATGGAGCGTTTCGATACTCCGCAAGCCTCGGCAGTAATGTCTTGAGTTTTTATAAAAAATTTGGCGTCAATTTCTTCCGATTCCGATAGTTTTTTAAAAAATAAATATACACTATAAACTATTTTTTTACTTTGGCTATGTAGATCTTTATCTTTAAAGGACATTTTAATGTTAAATAAAAATAATAAATATACGAAACACTAGGTTTTTAAAAAAACAAATATATTTGTAACGTATTACTACGACACCAAACCGACGTGTGCGGTGTCGGGTGTGCACAGCAACAGTGAACACACTATAATCACAGATAATATAAGAATTCTTATATTATCTATGACTATAATGCAAAGAAAATATGCCACAGCCCACAAGCAGATACGAATACAACTTAACATACCATACATGCCCCACCATCCATAATAACCATTAAACCATCTGTCCCTCTATAGGGTCTCTAACAGGTTTTAAAACATATAAAGAAGGAATGTGATCTATAGGGATGGACATAATGAACAATAGCGCAGATAGTATTCGTGCTGCGCCGCCGCCGTTCCGGATCGCAACAATAGAATGAGAACCACAGTCTACGCGGTGGGTGAGGTCGGGGTACGGCGGGGCCACTCGCCACTTTTCGTGAAGCGGACTATAGTATCTGTAAACCTTGGAGGCGCGGTGTAGGCCGTAGGGAAGTTATGAATGATTATCAAAATGATATTTTCTACTTTACGGGCGAGGGTCTAAAATTTTATCGGAAAGTAAGGAACAGCCAAAGATTTAATTTAATCTATTCTGTGACAGTGTGACCGTACCAAAAAAAAACGATTTTACCCATGGACACATTATTATAAAAATAGACGGAACATTAGATATTATGATATCGCGTGCAAGGATGGAGCTTGTTACGACTTACGAGGATCGAACATCGAATTGAATTGGCTGTCCTCGGAAGAGTGCCATTTCTCTCACCCTTATGATAAAACTCATGCCATCTCTCTTAATCCGTTTGGCACGACCACGCCTCCCAGTCCTCCGGACAAATGTAAAGGTCACGGTTATCTACTCCGAGTAGATAACCGTGGTAAAGGTCTATGATTTTATCGTTCGGTTATCGGTTATCTGTACCACGTGGTTTACGTCGGCATTCCCGTATTGTTGTCCGTTAATAGATATTTCTACAATATTGTCGTTACCATTATATTTTAAACTGTGATCATTTCTAATTTATTTTTGTCTTTGCTATTCCAAAATTCAAGATGAATATTCCGTGTTCCACCTCGTGGTGAGTGGTGAGCGGCAAGTGGCAAGTGGAACGTGCTCTGCACTAGTGCACTCGGTGCGAATACAAATCTATATCATAGGCAGAACTAACGCGTAAGACAATGGATTTGGAATTCGACGACTTTTCCTACTACTCCACTCGGCTGCTATTGGCCGACGTGTTGGATGACGTCTACGTAGAAATGGCCAAGACGCAGTCGGCCAAAAGCCGGTTCATGTTCACTCGCGACCTGCTTCGTAAGCACAACATGCTCGACTCGTCGTTGGATACCGACAAATTTTTTGAGTACGAACATCCCACCGTTTCGGAGAGCTACCGACAAAGGGGCAACGAGTTCTTCAAGGCCAAGATGTACGACGAGGCCGTCGACATGTACACCAAGAGTTTGAAGAGCTGCAAACCGACCACCGAGTGTAACGCGCTCGCTGTGGCTAACCGATCGGCCGCGCACTTCCGCATGGGCAAGTACGACCTTTGCCTGAAGGGCTTGCGCGTTGTCATGTGGGCCAATTACCCGTCAAAACTCGCGTACAAGCTGTACGAGCGGGCCGGGAACGCGGAACGCAAGTTGGGTCTCATCGAAAGCGCGAAGGAGAGCTACGCCGAGTGTCTGACACGACTGGACGAGGCGGACATGTCTGCGGAGAACAAGCTCAAGTTCAGGGCGGCGGTGGAAATTGCAGCGACAGAGTGCGACCAACTGTTGACCTACCAGAAAAGGACGATGAAAACGCCTCCCGTCGAGCAGCTGGTCGGTGGAAGAAATGAAAATATCCCTGCACTATCGGCCTTTGTCGAACTGAAAATGTCCGAGAATATGGGACGAGGTGTTTACGCCACCCGCGACATTAACCCCGGTAAGTGACATTATTAGTAGGTTTCGGCCATATTATGCGTACGGCATACCTAACCAATTTTTGGTGGTAAACAAGTCAATGGTGTGGACATTTCTAGAATAAACATTTTTTATTATTATAAATTAGGCACCTGCTACCTCTACCTACCTGCATATAAAAGTATTTGTTTTTCAGTCATTTTTATGATTAATTAACAATAAACTATGGTAACAATCTAAAAAATTGTATAGTTTATGTAAGTACTTCAAGTTTATTACTCTTATAAGTTAGGTACCTATAAAAATAAACTTGTAAATTTTAACAATTATAATAATTCTAAGAAATGTTCATGACAAAAATATAAATAAATGATCACAAAGTCAATCATTTGCATTAGTGACTGACGGGTTAAGTGATATAGGTAATGTTAACCATTGTCGAAAGAAATCATCAAGACCAGGTCACTATCATACAAGGTACACAAGGTCCTGTCGACTATCACCAATAATACTAAGCTCAGATACACTTTGAGGTTTTTAAATATGCTCGAATATACTGCTAAATGTTATTTTTTGCCGTCATACATTTTTAACTGATATAATTTTTGGAACTTAACAAATATTACACAATAAATAAGAGTGTTCCTGAGTAATTGTACTCATGTTAGGTACCTACCTACCTACCTGTGAATAATTAAATTTATTAAATAAAAATAAGTTTTTTAATTAACAATATTTGTCTGAAATGGAATTATGTTATTTGCCTATAGGTGATGTTGTGGCCATAGACGAACCTTACATTTCTGTGCCTTTTCAAGATGATTCAGAAGTTTGTAATTATAATGGTTGCTTAAAGTTTGACTTTGCCCTTTTTCGCTGTCCAAAATGTGTAATGGTAAGTTTTTTTTATATCTAACACAAGTAAAAATGTTAGGAATGCATTATATAAATGCAATATATATTATATTTCTGTTTGGTTATTTAATACGTTTAGAACAAAATTAGTCCAAACCCTACCAATTTTTAACAATTCTGACTATAGTATAGTCTACATTATATCTTTTTATAAATTACTTGATGATTTTTTTTATTTATCTGCCAATGTATATATATTATATATATCAAATTAAATACTGAATTTCTACTATGTATAGGTACCTAATATTATTTATCTAAAACTTAATATTAAGGAATAGAAAATAATATGTAAAATATATACTTTTATCAGGTGTATTACTGCAATAAAGACTGTATGAATAAAGATTACGAAGATGGACATCATTTGGTATGTCCAATTATTTGTTTCATCAAATCAACACCAGGAATATCAAAAATTAATGAACTTGCTCTGAAGTGGTTTTTAAAAGACTATTTAAAAATGGGTCCAAAAAAATATTGTTCCATAGTTGATAACTTTTCTGAGTCTAAAACTGATCCTATAACAAGGGGTTTTAATGAGATTGGTCAATATAAGTCTGATAATTTTCTAACAGCTTATTCTTTGGATTGTAGTGAAAACAAGATGCCAACACATGTCTTGATTTTTTTTAACTGTATTGCTGTTGATATCTTGCATTATTTGACATTAAGTGGATTCAAAATTCCAGAACGATATATGGGTAGTGTGGGTGCTTCCTTGGTGCGTATTCTAACTGTTTTAGATTCAAATGCCAGAAAGTTAAGTATTAATAACCCTTATATATCTCATCAAGAACTTACTTTTATATTAGCATTTACTTTGTATCCAACCATTTCCTTGTTTAACCATTCTTGTGATGGAAATATTAAGCGGAGTGGAGTAATAACTGATAGAATAAGAGTTATAAAAGCAGTTCAACCAATTCCCAAAGGAACTCAGGTGATTATATGTATAGATGATTTTATTATTATTATTTTATGTTTCTCTATTAGCCACACACCACATTGTGGCTGCGACTTAAAAAGATTTATTTGTTACCATCTAGTTGTGCTGTAATTATGGAATAATGTTTAAAGAAGATGATAAAGAATTAAGGCAAAGGGTTTCCAATGATCGTTTTGACTTTAACTGCTACTGCGACCCTTGCATAAAGAATTGGCCAACATTAAAGTTTATACCAAATCGCCTTTCTACATTGTATGTTACATACTTAAATTTTATAATTTATTGTGATTATGGTTAAATATTATGATTATTATATGCTTATAGAAATATTCTAAACCCTAAAATGGCAGATACTGTGTCATCCGAGTGCGAAAAGTTTGTGAAATTTAAAATGTCGGTGAAACCAGAGGATCTTTGTCAGCATTTAAATTATTTATATTCATTTATTAAACTTTTGTATACTAATGTAAAACGACCATTTGCATTATATGAGGATTGTCTTGAAATGATAGGTGATGCTCATATCATTAATAAGTTTTTGTGAACATCCATGAATATCAATTGATATCTTACTTTTATTTAAGTAATTTTTAGTTATATCAAAAGCAACAATTAGTGTTTAACTATTCTTATAAGGGATTTATTATGTATTATTTTGCTTTTATTTTTTTACATCGGATTCATTAATTATGTTAAATTATATTAAGATGATATGTTTTTTTATTGTCTAGATTATTAGGTAGCATTCTTTTATATATTTTTTTTGACTTAATGTGTGTTTAGTTTTTATACAATTACAACAGCATATTTGAGGAAAACCAACAACTGTAACACTACATCTATATCAAGTAAAAAATAAAGATAATCAGTGTGACTACAGATCTCACGAATTCTATGATATTATTTTATTTTAATAATGATGGTATAAACTGGTGGTGGTACCAGGGTTCGGGAAAAAAACAGTTTTTTCATTTTAAACAAAAAACAGTTTTTTATTCATCTCCATTATTTTTTTGTTTTAAACAAAATAATTTTTTTGTTTTTTTCAATTGTTTTTAACATGTTTAAAACAAGAAAAAAATGGTTATAATTTACTTTGAAAGGACAATGGGAAATTTCACATAGAGCTCGTGTGGGTACAATGAAAGAAGACAAATAATGTATGTTATTATGTCGCAATGTTTATTTCCAAAGTTGAAAGTTTTTTTTTCAATCAATAGGTAGTAGGTAGTAGGTACAGTCGATAATGTGATTATTGATTTGCTTAAAAATATATCATATGAAATTTAATTTATTTCACTATTTGCCACATTGGTATAGTATGTACTATATGCCTATCTATGCTTCTATATAATATACTAATATACTGTACGTGAATGCATGTTGCATTTTTAAAATAAATAAATAATTGGGTAATTTGTATCAAACAGGGAACCTTTTGAATTTTTAAGTTTTAAAAGAATTTATAAAAAACATTTTTAAACATATAACATAAAGAAAAATGTTTTAAACACACAATGTTTAATTTCAATTGTTTAAAACTGCGAACCCTGGGTTGTACCATTCTAATATTCCTATAATATAATATAATATGTTATAATAGTATATTCAAACTAACACACGTTTGTGTATATGTTTTTATATTGACATGATTTCCTTAAATATTGAACAACACTATCACCAGCAGCTACCTACATTTTCAACCGTTAATAAAGTATAGATTAGACAGCGGTTCCCAACAGGGGTGGCTCCAAGGCCCCCCCTCCCAAGCTGTATTTCTAAACAATTTTATACTGTTAAAAACAAAATAACAAAAAAAAATCATCGAAAATCCCCTAACCATGTCTGGAGCCGTCCCTGGTTCCCATTATATTTTTCTGGAACTGCCTTTTTTTGATCAAATTAAACTACGTTACCCTGCTGTGAATACCACGGGAACCATAAATATTAAATGAACTGAACACTGATTATCCTCTTTGATAGTAAATTCTTTTAATTTTATTGAGTATAATACAATATAATATGCAGCTTAAATGCTTGATTTTAATCTAATAATAATAAAAAATAACAATATATATGAATTCCAACCTAAAATAAAAAAAATGTTATACTTGTTTATATATAAAAATATTTATAAAAGAGAACAATTATTTTAAACATATTGTATATTGTAACTAATGATATGTAAATAGCTACTATATTGTATGCAAAGTTTGGAAATGTCAGGTTTTATTATTGACAACTGGAGTTGGAGGTCAGGTTCTGCTAATTGAGACAGTTTCGGTATTTAGTTATGGTTGTGGTGTTTGGTTAAAGTGTAAGCCGAAAATCGTGACACACATTTAAGCATTTTTATAAGATTCAATTTTAATTTAACCAAAAATCACAAAATTATTTCAATTAATTTAAAATTATTTCTTATGAGCCGTGGAAAGTGCTTGTGATTATGGTGCACTTAGTCACCGCTGTGCACAGTTTGACAGTTTGGAAACTGCTGGATCAGACACTAAATTAACAATAATTTTAAAATTATCATAACTTGTTTTAAAATTAAAGTATAAAAAAAACAAACAGCACGTTAACCTAGACAGTGTCATACTGTATTATAAATTATGTTATTATAATATTTATTCAATATTGTAACTGCCTTGGCGCATTCAATGGTTAAATTAAGGACATTTGCCGACTAGGCCCTTACCCTGTTGGGCCCCTGATAATTTTTTTAAAATTTTATCAATAACGAAACGGAAAACTATATGATCCTCCAATTCCAGGATTGATGTGCATGTACTAATTATTTATAGTCATGCATGCACGGAGCATCAACTGTAGTCAAGTATTTAGGGGGAGGGGATTGCAAGTGTACCCTGTTCCCCAGGGCGGCAAATTTATATTTACATATTCTGATTGTGTAATAAAAAAATTAATTTATGTAATAACCTTCCATTAAAATTAATTATTACAGCTCAAAAATGTATATTATTTTCATAAATTAGGCAGAGAATAATATCAATTGTTCCAAAAAATATTGAAGGTCACTAGTCAACTATAAACCATGAAAGGTATTTTGCGTTACTATTATTGACAATTTAATAGGAAATAACAGGTGTAGCAGATTTTGAAGAATTTATCAATGTATTTTCAAATTTATAAAGTATGTATTTGGATTGTTATTATGAAAATCTGTCAAGAAGCTCCATCACTGGATGGATTCTTCTTTCAAGCCTCCAACCTATCAACTCCCACAGCGCTTGTACTTCTTGTAAAAAAATAAATTTACAGATTGTATAAATAAATTAATATTGTAATAAAAAAAAAAATATTGTTATTATTAATATAATTAAGAACAGAAAAAATTAATGATAATAAATGTTACATTTTATTTTTATAATAAAATGTAGACGTGTGGTATAGTATATACCATAACTAATAACTAGGGCTAGGATTTATATGCAATAACAAATTGTAAAATATGCATTTGATTTACCAAAATATGCAAAAACAAATTTTTATTATTTCTAGATATATATTTTTATTATAATTCATAATTTATAATTATTACATTAAATATAAGTTTATATAATTACATTAAATATTAGTTTATATTATTACACACTACTATGATATGTTGTTTCAAATTTTCAAGTACGAACGACTGGCGATTTCAACGTAGAATAGACTAAAATTCCTTTCCACATCACACGATGTTATTGGTGCATATTTGAATGACGCGATTTTCCCTGGAGTTAGATTAATATTAATATCTTCTTCTTCATTTTCATATTCACCGTTTATAATTCTATGCTGTTATTAAAACCACTCAAATTTTTAAGTATAAGTGTCCGCACATTTACGCAACACACGTCGTACTAATGAAATTAAATACGTCGTTAAATAATTTGTAGGTAATCCTATCGGTCGTCCGACCAAGATAAGATTAGATAGGTAATATTTATACTATATATTTACAATTCGACGGATAAACCAAAAACTATCGGTATTATGAAATAAACGCCATTTAAAATTAACAATAATTTATAAAAATTTAAAAATTTAAGTTAAAAAAAATAAAAACTCAAAAATCTATAAATATGCAATTATATGCATTGTGTTCAAAATATGCAAAAAAAAATTGATTTTATTTAAATGAGAGTAAGCAAAATCGTGGACAAATCTGACAAACAATCAATTTGGACTTAAGGAAAAAAACATGCAAATGCATATAAATCCTAGTCCTACTAATAACTATTAAACTATTGAATTTTTTTACAAGAAAAAAAAACATTAAACGCTTATAAAGAAATCTTTGTGTCACCTATGTGGCTATGTCCTATACCTATATATGTTTTACTTACACTTTATTTTATAAAAACTGTAATTTGTTTAATTAACATTGGTTTTCCAATAGAGGTTTAAGAGGATGACTTCAATAGATGAAAATATGAAATATTGGAACAAATGCAGTTTAGCTACCAAGCGACTCTTTTTTCAAAATATTATGTATGTGTTTTGGCATGCTTTAGGGGATTGCAAACGGGCAACATTATTTCAACCAAAAATCAAAATGTACCAGTGTTTTGTGAATCGTACCAATGGACTTGATAACACGATAGGACTTCTTAAAACTGATTTGAATTCGTTATATGTAATATGTCTACTTGAGATCGACCAGGCCACTCTTTTAAAATTTTGTTCCTAAACGTTTTGTTTGTATATTTAAAATTTACGAAATTTAAAATGTTCATTTTTCGATAATGAAACGAAATATCTTTAAATGTGGCCCGATCAATCTCTAGTAGACATGTCGACGAATTCAAATCAGTTTTCAGAAGTCTTATTGCGTTATCAGGTCCATCGGTAGGATTGACAAGTACATTATACAAATGAGCACAAATAAAGCGGGCGCTGTTCCGCTATTTTATATACACACAGTCGCACACTCTGACGCTGTGTCCAACGTGAACGCGGAAAGTGAGGGGCGAATTATATTCTGACCATGCTGTTCCGAACGAGGCGAAAATCAATCTGTTTTGGTTTTTTGCAGCGTTCACGTTGGACACACAGGGTTATGATCATTGATCACTTATTGAGCACACATTTACAAGACCGCCGTATGCAAACGATTTGAAAATTGCCTATTTTGAACTCCTTAAAAATTGTCCGTTTGCGATCCCTTTGAGGGTGTAGGTATGAATGGTATCGCAACATTATATGAAAATGTACTTTTGTATTTCCAATAATATGGTTTATTGAGCGGTTTCAGAGTAAATAAACCTGTTATCAATATTGTAGAAGAGAAGTTAATCTATGTCTGTATACATGTCAATTTTCGATATTTTAATTACTAAACTCCATTATTGAAATTCAAAAGGTAAAATATCACAAGTTTTAGAGTTAAATATTGGACATTGAAAATAAAATATCGAAAATCCGACTCCTGTACAAACTTAGATAAACTTCTTCTCTTCACTTTGTATAATATGTGTTCATACTGTAATGGTACTCAGTAAGCTATATTATTGGAAATACGAAACTATGTTTTAG